TTATAAATTGTGTAAATAAAATTGGAGTTCAAAATAAAAATTAAAAAAAAATTCAACTAAAATTAAAGCTCGTAAAAAAGAAAAACTTAGCAAGTTGGCTGAGAAGAATAGCCACTCATCAGACTTTTCCAAAGTATAAAGATAATCAATTTGTTTTGATCTGATGTTCATAAAGAGAGTTTCGTCTTCTTTATAAAACTTTGCCTGAAATAACTTGCTTCTTGTGATAATAGTTGGCTTAGTTCAAATCAACTACCACTTGATTGACTTAACAAAGAAATATATATTTCGAGTTTTTCACTTTTTTCTCTATATCTATCATCTTGATGCACTTAGATGATAGCTTAAAAGATTTTATTGTTAACACGTATCTAAATAGATCTATGCTTCATCTAGTCTTTTTTCACAGCATTATTTGTGTCAGGATTACACTATAGAAACCTAAGATCTTAATTATTTCTAGAAAGATGGAAATCATAAGCCATGAATTAATTGCTCATTTCCAATATCAGTCTCCCAACTCAACAATTTCACGTTATACTTTGTTATGAAAGAAGAGAAGATGCATTCATCTTTAGCAAAGATTTTAACACTCGCGAGAAGATCTTCATCCATTGAATGTGAATTGTTAATTACTTGGGAGATTTGAAGACTGAAAACTTAAAGAAGTCAATAAAGGTGTGAGAAACAATTTATAAAGAAGTTGTGGAATTCAAGGTGCTATGAAGTTAAATTTGAAGTTATAATTCTGGTCATTTGATACATTAAATAAGAGATTAAACTAATGATCTTTAGTAAACAAGTGATGCACTAAAGTTTAAATCAATTTTAAAAGAAGATGTATAAACTAATAAAACAGAAGGAATTCCTTCCCTTTCTTACAAAAAAGAAAAGAGCATATATGAGAAGTAAATAAAAAGAAAAAGATTATTTTTTTTTATGAAAAAAATTTTTGTTTTTCTCGCAAAAAAAAAAAAAAATCCAAAAGGACAAGTATTTTCTTAGGAGGGGGAATTAATGAAGAAGGTGTGTTTTTGAACTCATCTTTCAATGCTGGCATGGCTGCTCCTAGCAATATTGAATTACAACAAGATCAAGAACATCTTTAGAGATTGATTCATGATGAATCAAAATGCAACAAGAGCTAGATACCACCAACGAACTAACTATTCTTAGGTAACAAGCAAATTTCCTTAAGGAACAGCTACTTAGTTTAAATTATTCATTGCTCTCCAAATATCCCTAGTGACTTAACTTTAAATAGTTATAATACTAGAAAAGATATCAAACTTCTCTTCTAAGTTGCCCAAGCTAATCTTTTCATCTTTTGAAAAATACGAAGCTTAGAAACTATCTCAGTAGTCTTTTTCTGCTCAAACTCTAAGTCGGCTTGAAGTTTGAGTGTCATTCACTTCTTTGATTCAAAATACCTGACCAGACTCAAATTTTCATCGGAACTAAATAAATAGCTTAAAGATAGGAAATTTGAATTGGATTGCTCAACAAATTTTCTATGTTCAGTTTGATCCCATCTTTCGGCTGACCCCTCTTGGTTGTCTTCCTTCTCTTCCACTTTGAACTAGTAGAAGCTTCAGTATATTTGCCTCCTTCTTTAGTTGATGGCATTAACAAGTTGACAACTTGCTCCTTCAGACTACTAGGCATGTTTATGATATTACTAAAGTTTCTTTTTTAGTTCGATTTAGGATGATCCCAGCAAATAAGAGTCATAAGCTCCTTCTTTAGCTTTCTTTAGCTTCTTCAAATGGGTTAGGCTTGATCTTTTTCATATTGAAGATGATTCACCAAAAGTCTTATGTTCTATAACACATTACAAAATCTATTTGCTAATATATTTTTTGACCTTCTCCATATATGTTCAAAGGTATGAGAAAATTTAGCAAGATCTTAAGAAAGAAGCCAAGGAATGTTTATAGGCCTGAACTGTCAATGCATGTCATTTGCCAAATCAAAAGAATTATAAAAACAAGTCAAAGTTTAAGATCTCCTAGGTTTTTTGAGGAAGACAATTAATTCTTGATTTCTTTTCAATTTTTAAGACGTGAAAATTAGGAAAGTAATGCACAATGAATGTTGCCTAGGCCTGGTTAATCAGGGCTTGTAAATATTTTAAACCACATTCAAACGAATGGCTATCAATTAAACCAAGTCTCCTAAAGAAATTATTCAGTAAATTTTCCCATAACTCTGCAATTATAGTTTGAAGTTACTCGAGTAAAGTTCTATGTGCTAATGAATTCACCAATTGAAGACATGAAGGCTAATTGCCCAATTCATCATTCGTACTTACTGTGAGATGATTCAAATTAAACACATCATTGAGGCTCACTCCAATGTCACTCGAGCATTCAAAACCACTCGCCAAACCAAAACAAATTCGTTGGAGAATGGAGACTTTATCAGAAGTTTTAATCTCAAAGAAGTCATTCTTTACTTGGAACTTGTCATGTATAAATACAAGCTAGTTTGGTTTATTAATTTTACACCAGGTATTTGTCAAGTATAGCTATGTAATTGCTCCTTGTATCTTGAATTAAACCTATTTTCTAATGACACCAAGTCATTTCTGGACATCTTTATATTTACTAAACAGTATAGTGAAATTTCATAACCCTCTGTAGGCTATTTTTCCCTCTTTTGTTTAGTTCACATTATTAGTAAAGTATTAGTTTCATGTCATCCACAGACGTCTTTGGATTTAACATCCATCAAGGTAAGATGCTCAAGCTTATTGCTTACGTTGTAATAGGGGATATTCATTTGTTGCAAGCTAAACTAGTTCATTCAACTTATTCATTTTTTGATTGTTTGTTTGTATAACATAGTTTTAGCCTTGAACTTTTTAAACCTTCCTACTTCAAATATGATCCTAATAGAATGAAAGTAATGGGCACAATATTTTTGCTTAATACTTTTTCATGTTTTTGTTTTAAAGCTAAAGTCTGTACGAAAATTGAACAGGCTCCTTCGAAAATGTACTTATTGTGGCACAAAGTTCAATTTTTTTTATAGATGAAAAGTTAACTAAGTTATTTAAATTTTGACGAAGAAAAGATTTTTTATAGGCTTGAAACATTTATTCACAATATCCTAGAAGTTTATGCCTACCTAATATTATTAGGTGCATTTTGGGCCAGCTTTCATTAATGTTCATGATGATTTAAACATTAATAATTAATCATATTAATAATACAAGGATGCACATCCACACGTCATTAATTTTTAGGGATGTAAGAGAAATTGCATAATCACAATTTGCTTTGTATTAATGAATTTGACTTCCAAAGTTTGGCATTTACTTTAATAACACATTGGTATCATAAACTTATGTGTTAAAAGGTTGCATGAATATGTGTACTTCACTTCTAAAAAAAAGTTAATATTAGTGATTTTTTATGTAATATTAAATATTGCAGTAGGGCTGTGAACGATTTGATATTGAGCTGATGCAGAGACAACTCAAAATTGGATCTAATTTTTTTTACATGGATTGAAATTGGCTCATGAATCAATTAAAGTTTTGATCTGATCCGGATCAAACCAAATGATTTATGAGCCAGCTCGAATAACATTTTTGGCTCATGAGTCTGGCCGATCCAGCTCATGTGACATTCTCTAAACTAGAATCCAGAAAGACAAAACAGAGAATACAGAAAAAACACTCGCCAAACAAAAAAAAAAAAAACAGAAAATGCGTGTAAGTATTCATGTAAGTATTCAAACCAAAAAAAATACTGATTATTGTGATCAGTGATCAGTATGAGTTTCAATAGAGGAAAGACAAAAGATTAGGTTGAAGAATGTAATGAGTTAGAGTTACCAAACCAGATACCGCACAACGCACACGACAAACCATAGAATTGGAAACTGGAAAGTGAAAACTTGCAACAATGTCTTCGTCAACAAGTCAAAACCCTGTCTGAGGGGTGAGACCGTGAGAGCGGCAAGATGCGAGAGCGAGAGTGGCAAGACTAGCGGCAGCGAGTGCGAGAGAGTAGAGACAGAAGACGGCAGGAGAGAAAGGAAGAAACCAAAAAGGAAAGTTAGGGCTTCAGTTGGCCTGTGGGTGGGAGATAGGATTAGGCATTCGATACTTTTGAATTGCTGTAGATCCGCACTTCCCAACCATTTGATTAAATCTGATTGTGAGCCACACGATCCATCCGATCTGACCATGGATTGAAACCAGCTCGAAATAAAACCGATCTTTTGGTTTGGCTCACAAGTTGCTTAATCAATTCGAGCCGATTTTGATTCGTGCTAAAATTCGATTCAATTTCCGAGCGATTCACAATCTTCGAGCCAATTTCACAGCCCTAGATTGTAGTGTTATGCATGCAAATATGAAGGTTTAGGTTTTAGATATGTAAATAAATAGCAATTGTCTGGTATGCAATCTTACATATCAAGGTGATAACCTAAAAGTTTAATCAGGTGCAGAATGGAAATTCTCCTCCTAGGAGAGAAGAACAGTCTATCCCATGGACATCTAATATTTAATTGACTGCTCGGTTATTCGCTAAAATGACTGAATTCATTTTCAGCAGGTATTTTATCTTTAGCTGTGCATGACTAACGGAAATAAATTTCTGTTTCTTGGTATAAACTGATCTGATTTTCTTTAAAGAAAAAAAATGAAGAATACATCAACTTTAGATAAAGGATAAATAAACTTGGTTCAATTAGTAGAACAAGAGAACACCAAGTTTATCATGTTTTCTTCAACGCACTGTTCTCCTAGACATAACTCAAGCTTTATGATGTACCTGTATGAGCAAGACTACTTGAAAAATAACAACATACAATTACCGTTTGAGAGCATTTATAGTTTTTCCATGCTTCATGGAATCCCCTTTTAAACAATTAATGCTGCTGAATGGATCTCAGAGTGATACCATAGAACATTTTATAACCAATATGTTTAGTCAAAAAGCCATCTTCCTCTGCTATTTAACATTTTGCGCTTTGCACCATTGCAGAATACTGTGAGAAGTATGCGAAGAATGAAAACTCTGCAGCCAATGGAAATTCCAGTGATGAAGAGCTGAGCGAAGAAGATTATGAATCCAGCGATGAGGAAACCGTTCCAGGCAATCCTGATCCTTGACTTAAAATTATCTGATTTTATTTTCAATGCATGTCAATCATTTCAGCTAATGCCAGGAAATAGGGCCCTTGCCCGTGTAATTAACTAGTTGTCTCTGTACCATAACAAACATTCAGCAGCTATTGATTCACTGGCCTGCTTGTTTCTTTTCTTTCTTGTTTTTTGGGACCTTGAAAAACGCAATTACTGAGCAGCAGGTTTGAAAAGTTAGAGCTTACAATAGGAAGGAGACATGACACACTATGAGGGGCAGCTTGGCTTAGTTATTGTCTTCCCCTCTATGAGACTAACCCACTATTGTCAAAAGTAATGAGTTTTTGTTCTTATTTTAGTAGCAGTAATGACATCACATCTTCTCTATATTTAGCAAACATTTTGAATGAGATTTAACCTCTCAAAAAGATTTTTATCTTGTTTTATTGCTTTATACTTGTTGACCTCCATTTTGGTCTACGCGGATGAATGCTCATCAAAGAACAGTGAGAAAGCAAACCAAACATCACATTCATTGCTAGCAGGCAACTCCTTTCAATTCAAACTTGTATTCTAATACAACTCACATCATTTTTATAACTATTAGATTACATATTTTTTTTAACAATTTAAAAGAGGAGAAAAGAAATTTTAAAATTTTCTTTATTTGATTGTATGATTGATTGTTATATTGCTTAATTGAAGAGTTCATTTATTATAAATCATCCAAAATTTCATTCCTTGTATTAGAGCTTTATAGAAGGAGAAAGAGGGGAGGATGGCTCTCTCACCGGAAAGATTTATTTTATGATGATGACTTCTAATGATTGTATTTTTCTTTATTTTCTCTCATCAATGATTAACACTTTACATGATGATTTTTCGTTGACTACTAATTTTCAAGATCTTGTCATATTATTATTATTATTATTATTTTAATTTCTTATGAAAGGAGAGAGGAATTATATGGCAATGGTGCCAAATTTATCTTCATCAAACATAATGAAGGGTAAAGACATACCTCAAGCGACTACAATATCACTATCTCTTATAGCACAAGGCAAGAAAGATTCAAAGCTTGCAAGAAATATATAAAATAATCAATTAGTTTAATCTTATATGTTTTGTTGCTTATCAAAAATTGATTTTCTATTGAAATTTTATACAAGAGGAAAGATGAAAATTTGTTGATCAGATAAAATTTAAGATGGTTATGAAAAATAAGAATGGTAATTGAGAAGCAGAAAAATGTAACATAATATTGGTGGCTAAAAGCTACAAGCAACAAATATATATTTTGTATTGTTTGCTAACATGAAAGCTATTATCTATTTTGACTTGAATAATTGAATATTTTTTTTGAAATGAATGCAAAATTTTTTCTTGAATATTTTTTTTTCTTGAAAGCTGACAAAGGGCAGCACATGAGTCTTCTTGTGTGGAAGAACGCGAACCACTTGTTTTCGTGGACCGAACTAGTCCAGATTTCTTTCTTTCTGAGGAGTTGGTCGGTCCTCTTTGGCCACTCCTAATTATTCTCTTATTATATATTTGTTATCGTAAGAGTTTAGGGTTAGTTTTTTAAGGATAATTGTTGGCGTCTCTTCTTCCCATCGATGGATGTATTCTAGGGTTCTAGGTGGCTCTTCAACTATATCTTGGTCTCGTGATGGTATTTATCTTTCATATTCTCCTTCCACATCCTCCATACACTACTTCTTGTTCTTGTTGCAGTTTCTGCCTTCTCTCTGCAATTCTAGTGCTTCAGCTTTTTGTCATCCATGTTCCAACCACCAGAAATCCTCTCCTCTTACCACCCGTTGCTCCGAAATAACCTATGGAGTTGTATGAAGAATATGAAAGAATAAAGTCTTGAACTTCAGGCAGTATATGGCTCTGAATGAAGTGCCTGAAGCATGGGGTGGTCGCATTGATTATTATTTCAGAAATATTGATTCTATATAATATTCTTATTTCTAGTAATTTGTATGTAGATGATCTTTTTTTCATGAGTATTGCTAAACTGAGTTCAAGCTATATGTATGTATGTGTATATATATATATATATATAGTAGTTGTGTTATAATAATAAAGCTGACTAAATTGGCTTTAAAATGAATTCTCAGCTATTATCTCCAATGAGCTTCCATATACTTTCAATAATTTTTTAGTTAGTGTTTTTTTAAATTGTGAATAGAGCATCTAAGGATGAGTGGAAAAACCTCATGGTGATTGTGGAGGTTACTTGAGTTTCTTTCTCTGCTTGGAACTACTAAAATTAATATTGATAATAAACAACAATTGTTTTAGCAAAGCATCCAATTCATCATGAAAGGAGCAAGCACATTGATGTCGGATATCATTTCATTCATTACTCCACATGATTATGTTGTAAATATCTTTTATATTTATATTTATTCATGGATCACACCCGAGAAATAAAACTTAGAAGAAGAATGAAAAAAGAGTGGAGCAAAGAGAAACAAACTCAGGTATTAACTATTATGGTTTCATATTACATTTATTGTTCCTCTATTTATAGACAGTTAGATTACTCTGAGAAATAACACATATGACTTTATATTTTTTTGGTCAGTCGATTTTCATTATTCTATTTTTAGTCGAGTAATCCAATCAGTTTTGAGCGTTAGTCGTGATTTGCCTGATCCGCTTCTTATTCGATCGGTCATCCGAGTTGGTCGTCTCTCGAGTTGACCGGCTCTTAGGTGCATTTTAGCTCGGTTGGCCAACTAGTCCTCATTTGATTGGTTTCTTTTTATTCTGGATATTCACGTCTTGTTCGGATCCTTCAACACATGTCTGGTTCATAACCACCTGATATGATCAGACTGTCAAACACACATGAGTACCGTTGCGACCATGCCACTATTTTTGCATCAAGCCATCTCAAACTTTGCGTGCCACTATGTATTTGCCCAAGAAAAGATGGATATTTTAACAAAAAAAAAAAAATAATAATAATAATAGTCATTTTTTTGGCAACACCAATCTAAAATGAATATTAAATGCACACTTATACATTGTCCATTTGGAAGGCAACCTTTATTTGTACTGTTGTATCCTTCGTTCCTTGCGGTGAACAAAATCTCTGAAGAATTCCTTCAAAATTTCCTTGGGATGACATTTGTCAAATCTCTCCATAACAACTTCACTTTTTGCATGCAATAAATGAATTTTACATAATGTGTTACAGCTCTTTATTTATAGCCATTGTATTTGAAGATCAACTAAAGAGTGGGTATCTCTCATCCAATTTTTTTATTAAACACTTTAGTATCATATAATACCACTAACAATTTTTTCATCATAAACTTAAATGCTTAGTACTAATTTTATTTTAATTATATTTTTAATCTAATAATCATATTTATAATAATTTAAAAAAAATTTAAAGGGAGAGAAAATTTTAATTTAAATACTC